TGCATCATCGACGCCGACCTCACGACCTTCGACCGCGACCTCAACCTCAGGACGCAAGAGGCACCGTGGGGACGACTGGATCTCACACCCACGCAGCACAGAGCGGTACGACAAGACAACGACAGCATGCGGCACGTCCTACGGACCGCACAGCGGATGATGATGATGAGCATACCGACCATCATCCTGGACAGCAGCCTCCGACACCTGCAGATACAGGAATATGCATACATCACAACGACGTGCAGCACAACCCTGACCACAGCATTCACTGCTTGCAACTGCCCTGCAGACATCACCATGACTACGACACTGACGCAGGCCATAGAGCAAACACTCCACCCCACCGCCGACGCATACACAAACGCACAGACGTGGCACTACGATGGACAGGACGGCAACGACTGCTGGATGTCAGAACGCCCAGGCGCGGTGCTCCTCGAGCCGCGACCTGGACAGTACGGTGGCCAACTGTCGGCGGAGGAGAACCAGAAGGAGCTGTCGTCTACTACTGCAGGTTCTTCAACACCCGTCGGCACGCACTGCTCACCTCCCCAGCCCACGGGGCGCTTGGGAGGTAGGCATAGTCCACCTCCCCAGCCCATGGGGCGCTTGGGAGGCAGAGGGTACCGACCGACGGGGGCCACCTGGGCGACAACAACGGGGGCTGCACCAACCACGGCGGCCCCCAGAGCTACAACACTGGCGGGCACCACCCCACGGAGTACAGGTTGGTGATCACCCCCTCGCGGTGAGCGTGCCGGCCCCCAGGAACGGACCTGGGGGTGCTGGCGGCCGCGAGGGGGAAGAGGTCTCCTTCAACTCATGACACCTGGGCCCGTGGGCCGCCCCGCCACCCCACCTAGTAGGTTGTGGGCCCCCCTCCGCTCCTTCCTCCGGCCTCATTAAGGTTTTTGCTCTCTCCTGTTGGGGGGGGGGGGCCCACAATCCTACAAATATAATTCGTTCCCCCCCACCACCACCTCCGCGTCTTTCGAGCGAGGAGGAGTACGTACTCCACTATGGAGGTGGTGGTCGGGGGGAGGCGGGCCTAGCACAAAGCTAAGCGCGCCCTTGCTGCCCTCCACCTCGACCCCTCCCCCCCCCCTTTCAGAGGCCCTGGAGGCACCTCTTTCCCCTTCCCCTTCTTCGGTCGGGGGGGGGGCCCGAGGACCCCTGAGGCCCCTGCCCCCTCGGAGGCTTTTCGAGGCGCTCGGAGATTTCTGGGGACTTCGGAGGCCTTCCGTCGCGACGGAGCGCCGGCCGCGGCCGCTTAGGCCCGCGGCGCGGCGCGGGGCTACGGCGACTGGACCGCCTTGCCCGCAGTGCCGCAGGAGGAGGAGGAGGCCCTCGCCTCCTCCTCCTCCTCCTCCTCCTCCTCCTGGGATTTTTTGCCTGGGATTTTGCAAAGGCCTACGCCGTTCAAATCCTCCTCCTCCTCCTCCTCCTCCTCCTCCTCCTCCTCCTCCTCCCTACTGGGCGGGAGCGGGCTCATCACTTTGCAAAGCTGTGGAGGGCGGCAAATGTTCGAGGTCTGTCTTACGCAGAAGGCATCTATACACCACCACCGTGCCAGGCCAGGGCCATCCTGGGCCCCAGGATGGCGTATGCGCCCTCCTGGCCGAGGCCAGGAGGGTCTATGCACCATCCTACGACCCAGGATGGCCCTGGCCTGGCACGGTGGTGGTGTATAGATGCCTTCGTCGGACATGTCTGGCGAAACTACTCAACGATTGGGCGCGGGCGGTTTCAGGCTCACTGTGTAAGTTCATACACGGGACGCACTTCCCGTTGCCCAGGGACCCCACTTAACGATCGGGCGGTGGCAGGTTTAGTGTGGAAAATCTCACACGGGGCGCATTTCGCTTAAAGTGCCGTGCCCCGGCCCACTTTACGAAATGTTGTTTCGTTGTCCGCTTTCCGTGCGTGAAAAAGAAGGGGACGCACCAATCGTAAAGTGGAATTGCTTGAATTAGAAAGAAGGAGCCTTTTTTATTTTTACATACAAGCCAGTTCCCACTTTACGATGTATGCTTCCCGTCCTGTTCTTCACACACCACACGTGGGGGAACAAAAAAGCCGGACGAAAGACCCACACATCTGTAGCTGCGAGTGCAGCATTGTGGGTACCGCTTTCGGTGGAGCTCCCTATGGGGAACCGAAGCGTGCGAGGGGTGCACCGAAATCGGTGGCGCGGACGCATGCGGACATTGCCACTGGAGCCTTCGGTGGAGCTGCCTATGAGGCCACGAAGCGCTGTCCTGGGTGGCGGTGGCGCATGCGGACCCTGCCGCTGGAGCCTTCGGTGGAGCTCCCTATGGGGCCACGAAGCGCTGTCCTGGGTGGCGGTGGGGCATGCGGACCCTGCCCCTCGAGCCTTCGGTGGAGCTCCCTATGGGGCCATTCAGCGCTGTCCTGGGTGGCGGTGACGCATGCGGACCCTGCCACTGGAGCCTTCGGTGGAGCTGCCTATGGGGCCACGAAACGCTGTCCTGGGTGGCGGTGACGCATGCGGACATTGCCACTGGAGCCTTCGGTGGAGCCCCCTATGGGGCCGCGAAACGCTGTCCTGGGTGGCGGTAACGCATGCGGACCGTGCCACTCGAGCCTTCGGTGGAGCTCCCGATGGGGCCACGAAGCGCTGTCCTGGGTGGCGGCGACGCATGCGGACACTGCCATTGGAGCCATCTGTGGAGCTCCCTATGGGGCCACGAAACGCTGTCCTGGGTGGCGGTGCCGCATGCTGACGCTGTCACCGGAGCCTTCGGTGGAGCTCCCGATGAGGCCACGAAACGCTGTCCTGGGTGGCGGTGACGCATGCAGACCCTGCCACTGCAGCCTTCGTTGGAGCTCCCGATGGGGCCACGAAGCGCTGTCCTGGGTGGCGGTGACGCATGCGGACCCTGCCACTGAAGCCTTCGGTGGAGCTCCCTATGGGGCTATTAGCGCTGTCTTGGGCGGCGGTGACGCATGCGGACCCTGCCACTGGAGCCTTCGATGAAGCTCCCAATGGAGCCACGAAACGCTGTCCTGGGTGGCGGTGACGCATGCGGACCCTGCCACTGGAGCCTTCGGTGGAGCTGCCTATGGGGCCACGAAACGCTGTCCTGGGTGGCGGTGACGCATGCGGACGGACGCAGCCACTGGGGCGTTCGTTGAAGCTCCCTATGGGGCCACGAACCGTGTGAAAGGTGTGCCGTAATGGGTGGCGGTGACGCATGCAGACGCAGCTTCGGTGGAGCTCCCTATGGGGCCACGGACCGTGTGAGGGGTGTCCCGTAATGAGTGGCGGTGACGCATGAGGACGCAACCACTGGGCCGTTCGGTGGAGCTCCCTATGGGGCCACGAACCGTGTGAAGGGTGTGCCGAATTGGGTGGCGGTAACGCATGAGGACGCAGCCATTGGGGCCTTCGGTGTAGCTCCCTATGAGGCCACGAACCGTGTGAGGGGTGCGCCGTAATGGGTGGCGGTGACGCATGAGGACGCAGCCACTGGGGCCTTCGGTGGGGCTCCCTACTGGGCCACGAACCATGTGAGGGGTGTGCCGAACTGATGATGATGATGATGATGATGATGATGATGATGATGATGATGATGATGATGATGATGATGATGATGATGATGATGATGGTGATGGTGATGGTGATGGTGATGATGATGGTGACGGTGATGCTGATGATAGGGAGAGGGGGGGAAGCGGGAGGAAGGACGCGGGCGCTGTCTGTTCAAAACGAGGGCCCAATACCACAAAATGGTTGGGAACAAATCGTAAAATGAACACGCCCGGTCACGCCACTTTACGCGAAGAGCGTTCTGTGTATGAATTTACACACTAAACCCGCACCCACCCGATCGTTAAGTGGGATTGCCGGGCAACCTAAACTGCACCCCGCGTGTGAATTTACATCATAGAACCAGTCCCCCGCTGGATCGTCAACACGGTTCGTTGGACAACGCCTCACAGGTCCCACTGGTCTCGTAACTCCCACAGGTCCCCCAGGCCTCACGGGTCGCACGAGTCTCACAAGCCCCACAGCCCCAAGAGTCCCCAAGAGCCTCCCAAGAGGCCCCAAAACGACCCCAAAGAGGCCCCCGAGGGCGCTCGTCGTCGTCGTCGTCGTCGTCGTCGTCGTCGTCGTCGTCGTCGTCGTCGTCGTCGTCGTCGTCGTCGTCGTCTTCGTCGTCGTTCGTCGTCGTTCGTCCCCGTCGTCCGTCGTCGTCGTCGCCTTTGCCGCCGCCGCCGTCACCGCCGTCGTCATCGTCGTCGTTCGGGGTCGGCGGCACTGGCCGTAAGGCCTCTCGAATACGCTCGAGAATCTCTGAGATCTTGCGGCTCATGCAGGAGTCAACGGGCGCCGCGACCGGAAGGTCACTCCTGCACGTGGCCGAGAACAGGGCCCCCAGGGCGCGAGGGCAGCTCGGGCTGCAGGAGAGCTCAGAATCGTTCTCGATCAAGTCGGATCGGCAATCCGAGCAGACCAGGATCGAAGTCGAGCGAGGTCGAATCGAATCGAGGCGGAGGGGTCGTAACGAGCCGCAGGTTGGGTTAGGAAGCAACTGCTGGGAGGTCTTCGTCGGAAAGATCGAGGAGGATCGAGCCCCGTTGCGTGGGCTGTTGCGCCAGAGGTGGGCTTCGGATCAAGCGGGACTGAGCCAGGTCCAGCGGGATCCAGCGGGATGAGGCCAGACTCCGGTTCGGGGCAGAATCAGCACCTGACCCCCCAGGAGCTGCACCCGAAGGCTGGGGTGGCTTCGGGAGCGGCCAAGAGGGGGGTGCGCAAATCATGACCGGCGGCATGTGCGCGGCCCAGCGGGGGGGGCCAGGGACGTAACGAAATAAGAAGAGGCGCCATGAAATCTGGGGAGATACCATGGCCCCCGCCATGATATCCACCCCCCCCTAGCCATCCCCCCCCCTCTTTGCCGCCTACGACCGAAGGCTGGGGTGGCTGGGCCAGCAGCGAGGCGCCGGGCCCCCGAGGGCGCGGAGGCGGGGGCCTGCGCTGGCCCCGGGGCTCGGACGAGTCCCTCGAGCAGGTGCTGGGCCGGGTGCTGGGCGCGGTGCTCCTGGCCGGGGCGGCCCGCCCCGCTCGCTTCGCTGCGCCGAGTCGGGGAGGCGGGAGGGGCCCAGGGACACACAGATACACATGGACACTGACAGGACTCCCCACATTTTCCCATGTTTCCTTTGGTTCCCCGTCTTCCCCCCCACCTCCCATACTTCCCTATATTCTCTGGGGAGTCGACGATTCATTGTTGTGTCTGTGCGTTTCTCTCCCTCCGGAGAGACGTAAGACTCGGGTACGGGGGACTCGGGTTGGCCTCACGGGGACCATCATAAAAACGACGAGACCCACTCCGAGATCTGACGCGGGCTCCCGCTGCAGACGTCCCACGAAGACGGGACCGTCAGAATCCAAGACGCGCTCGTCAGAAAAAAGTCAGCAAGCCCGAGTTCCGGCTTGCTCGAGTCTCACGTTTCCCCGTCTGAGGCAAGGGCCCCCGCGATTGGATGTCGCTGCTGCCAGATCCCAGTACGCTCGGCTAGCGAGCTTGATCCATCACTAACAACCCTCAAGACCCCAATTCGCAGGGAGCTCGGATCTTCCGTTGGCTCTTTCCGATCATTCGGCTGCTTAGTATTGCTCTTCCCCTGCGAACACTTCCCCCCTGCGCCGTCGCCCCAGAAGCATAGATCGCCTTCGCTGCCCCTCAGCGAGGTTCAACCCCTCGAGTCATGGAAAAACTGACGACGGCGAGTGTTGCGCTATTTACCGCATCTGGGGGCCCTTACTGGACCTCGGGGCCGTCAGACAACGACTGAGGAAGCCAGTCCCGGGTTATGGGTCGAGATCCCTGGGGGTCCACATCATGAAAAAACATGGTACTTTCCTGCTGAACCTCCGTCTTCGCCCCTCTCCCACATCCACCCCTCGGCGAGACGTAAAGGTTGGAGAGGTTAGAAGAGAATCGCTCCAAACGCCCCCTGGAATGAGGAGATGTGAGCATGCGGGTGGGTTCGTCCCCTACTCCCACCGTGGCTTAACATCTTATATATAGGTACCCCCAAATCCTCACACCGGCCGACGCAAGAGGGCCCAAAGACAGCGCGCGACGGCCCCGAGAGCGTCCAAATGACCACCGAGACGGCCCACGAGACCTGAAATACGAAGGTAGAGCATCCCAAGAGGGCCCCAAGGCGGCCCCGAGAGACCCCAGAAATGGCCTCCGCACCTACCGCATTTACGGATTTGAATGCGGGGGGGCGGGGGATCGTCGGCAGCCGTCGGCAGCCTGCGAGATCTGAAAGCAAATTTGAAGAAACCCGCCGTAGGCATTGACTTGCCAAATACCTTGCGCAACGAGTTCGCCGCATGCGCTGGATTATTGTCAAAACGATGTGGCGAGTGTCGCGGGTGGGTCGCGGGAAGGTCGCGGGTTGATCGCGGCGGGTCGCAAGCGCATCGCGTGACGACGCATGACAGCAACGCCAACAGCAACGCAAAAGATCCGCACCGCAGACGCCCACTTCAGCCAAGCACCCGCGGACCGTGATAATGATGCTCTCTGCGCGTATTCGACAGAACTGCCCCCCCCTCGCCACCGAGGCCGCCGGCACGGGCGCTCCGCGCGGTCTTGTCGTCCACCTGCGCCGCCTCGGGGTCCTGGTGGCGGGCGCTGGGCCCGCGCGCGCTGCCACGAGAGAGAGCCAGCAAAGCAGAAGAAAGCTGCTCTGCACGAGTGGCCGCAGGCCGTGCGGGAAGCCTGCCAAAGCAGTAGGCAGGGAGGCGAGATGAGAGCACTGGGTCACGGCCAGCGCAGGTCGCATGCGTCGTGGACAAGAAAGAAGGCAGCGACTGCTGGGGGGGGATAGCGCCTCTGGTGTAATTGCTGGGATCTGCAAGCCCAAATATTTCGTGCTGTCGGCGGCCAGACTGGGCATAGGGGAGAGGCTACCTAATCGATGCGCCGAATCAGAAGCTCTGTGAACTCCATGCTGCCTTCCTAGACATCTGACGCGTTGAAAACATATCCTATCCACCCACTTTCCCAAAAATACCGACCCTTTCCCCAGGGCCGGTTGGTCATCCCGAGTCGTTTTTTGACAGTCGCAGGGCCCGGCGAAGATCCCAGGAGGCCGAACATTGCCCAAAAAACTCCGGCCGTGATTTTGCCACGACGCAAGCACGTCCGGGTTCACACGCTTCCAAAACGGGCTCGAACATTTCAAGCACAGGATTAGAATAACCACAAAACAGTGCATAAGCATGATTTCTCATAGCTTCGCGCAGATTTCTTCAATTGGCGCTGGAGCGCGGAGCGCGCCAGGGGCGGCACCTGAGGCGCCGCCAGGGGTTCGGTCCAAGACGATCGACAATCCACCGCGCAAAACTTAGATTAATAATGTTAATAATGTTGATGCATTTCTGTTGGTCGGGAGAGCGCTGCTCCGGGCCAGCGCACCGTGGCCGGCTGGGGCCGCTTCGCGAACACAGGC